TCATATACGATTTCAATCATATTTTTCGATTTTTGTTTGTTTTCGATCTTCTGTTACTTTCGAACTTTTGTACTTTCGAAAACTTTTCCAATCAAACTTTTTTCGAACTTATTTCACCAAAACTCATCTCAGACATACATGAATTAAAAACTTTCACACAAGTTCGTGGTCCCAGCAGTAGACAATACTTTGCAGGCTTTTTCCTTTAAAAACTTGCCAGCGAGAGCCTTTGATGCTGAATCCCGACCGTTTCTATACTGGGTAAATCAACCTCATTGCCGATGGTAGGTTATAGCAATGTTTTTGTTAAAAACATTATGACCACCCATCCCCATTCCCCTTTGATTTTTGTTTAAATCTGAAATTTTATTATTTACCCCTCAATTTTGATTTACTTTAAATTCTATACTTACTGTATTTGGCCTTTATCCTCTAGTAGTAGTGGTGATCGTCTAGTTAATTAATTGATAATTTATTTACCTACGTTGTGATAATTTTAATTAAAATTAACCAGGATTCGATGTAAAGTTTGGTGCAAATTGGCAAATAAAACCATACAAAATTTATATTTAAAACCTTTTATTATTCATAGTTTAAAATGTAACACAATAATTTGCAAAGTATTTTACAATTGGTACTTTTTACCGAGATCTCACTTGAGTCGCGCTCAAACGCCGAGCGTTCATTTGATATCAAGATATATTTTATTTAGCTTGATTCTATCCTAGATATATAAAGGATTGTATTTTCTTAGGTATTTATTTCGACGAGTATAGAGGTGATGACCAACGGAGTTAACGAGCAACGCCAATTCGCCAGTTGGTTAACTTACTGTGTTGATGTTTCCATATACTTTATGATTCAAACTCAGTAGAAAGGGTGGCTAGTATAGGTGCCACCCCTGAGCTAAAGAACAGTGTCAGTGCACCAGTTGGTTAACTTACTATTAAATTTTACCATCTAGGTTTGTGTAGATTTGTGTACATAATTAACCCAAGACGAAACCCATCGAAAAACACATGTCTACGTTAACTGTGTTTCGGGGTGATTGCCCGAAGGCCATTTTGTTTATTGGGTTACATAATATTTTGAAGCAAATGTCACCCTTTATTCAAACGAACTCGGATGATATCTCAAAGGAAGTTAAATTAACCTTTTCAAATCACCATTAAAAATACAGCAATTAGGTTCGTCTAAACTAGAAATTATGTACTTATTTTATCTATCGTCGTGACGGCGTCGATGTTGGGTACGTCGCAGTGTTGAGCGTCGCCTTGCATTTATACGCCTAGCGTCGTGGCGGAGAGGAATGTATTTATTACGGTACTGCATCGGGACGAATATAAGGTAGGAAATACTTAGGTTGTGTGGGACGTGACAGCGTTTGGGAGATATGTTGTTGGGACTTAGAACGCCGGGACGTAGAAAGTGTAGGGAAGTAGGGCGGCGGGACGCTGAGCGTCGGGACGTTTGGGAGGTAGGTCGTCGGGACATAGAGAAGTAGGGCAGAGGGACGTAAAACGTCGATAGGAGGTAGAGTAGGATAGGCGTCGATTAGGAAGAGCGTCTATTTAGGAAAGAAAATGAATCTCGAGTTCCCCAGGAACGGGTATTTATATCCGTTTTAATCACTTTTTGTGAAGTCAGTTTCTCGTAACTCCGGTGGAACGAATTTGTGTAGATTTATTACGTGCCCTTGAGAAATTATCGGAATTTTGTGTCGATATCATTGAGATAGAATAAAGGGGAGATGCTATGACGGTGCTAAATTGTCCTTCGCATTACATTTTTACGTCAATGTCAAACTCGAGATAGTGTAGCTAGTCAGTTTTGGTGGGAATAAATACCATTTTTTCATAATATATGATATAAAATCAAATTCATTCCGTCAGTTTTCAAATAAAAAATTACTGACTTCAAATAAATGAAAGTACGACTCAAGTCGCCATTTTCATTACACTTTTCGTCACTTGAAATACGTCCATTTGTCATATCGTAAAATAGTGTTTATGTCGTCTCTAGTTTATTTTATCTTGATGGTTGATATCATGTCCAAATTGGTCTTAAGGCATTTCTTTATAAGCTTACCAGAACATACTTCTGTAACCAGAGCATTTCTTTATAACGTTTGGTTACTCTGCTTTGGTTACATGTTACCAAAGCATATGTAGCTACATCTAACGAGGCATTTCTTTATAAGCTTACCATAACTTACTAGAACATACTTATGTAACCAAAGCAATTCTTTAAACGGTTTGGTTACTTCCATGACGTCATACGTTACCAAAATACGTAACTACTACTAACCATGATGTTTTTAGTGGTAAGGTGTGTGGTAAGGTCAGTAAGGTCCACATTTAAACATATCGAGCACGCGCAAAGTATTGTAAAGATATTAAATTAGATACATTTTTCTGTGGTTACGGGTTATATGGTTCATTTTGTATATTTGGGTTGGGCATTTTTGTATTTACCAAAGAAAACTCTATTTACTATGAAAGAAATTACATTTGAAATACAGGGCACTGAAATAACTCTTCACGAGAGCGATGTTGATGACCACTGGATACTGTTATGTTTATTGAAATATAAAGATGAAAATATGAGACTACTGGCACAAGTATTTATCATTGTTATTTCATCACAAATAACACTTATTAATTTTTTTACTTCCTTTTGTTGGAGGAGACATATTTAAATAAATAACAAAAGAACGAAAACCAAATGACGTCTGTGACAAAAACACTTTTATTTATCCGGGGGGCTATTTTCAAACTCGAGAGAATTCATTTCTCTCAAGAGAAATGTCATACGTCAACGTAAAACCGTATTTTTAGGGCTCTTAGGGCCAGTGTTAACTCACTGACTGTTCCTCTTGGTTTATTTAGAGATAATTAAAATCTTCCTAAGAATTTTAATCCTCGATGCCTTTAAAAACATTTCCACATTGATGTATGACATTTCTGATGAGAATCTTGAGAGAAATGAGTGCTCCCATACTTTGAAAATAGCCCCCCAGGGGGGCTATTTTCAAAGTCGAGAGAATTCATTTCTCTCGAGAGAAATGTCATACGTCAACGTAAAACAGTATTTTTAGGGTCCTAAGGGCCAGTGTGAACTCACTGATTGTTTCTCACGGTTTATTTAGAGATAATTAATATCCTCATAAGAATTTTAATCCTCGAGGCCTTTAAAAACAGCGTTTCCACATTGACGTATGACATTTCTGATGAGAATCTTGAGAGAAATGAGTGCTCCCATACTTTGAAAATAGCCCCCCTGGGGGTCAATTCTCGACTTGTAGGAACCTTTTCCTATAGGAATTTGTGACACTTTCCTACATGTAGGAAACTGTCATAAATTTTCGATGTATATAAAAATGTCAAAAATTCCTATAGGAAAATATTCCTACGAGTCGAGAATCGACCCCCTGAACAAAAACAAAGTAAACAAATCCCTAATTTGACATGTGACAACGACAAGTGCTACGAGTTACCACGGTATGTCTGACGTCATCAAAGTAACCACAACGCTGTTACGAAGTATGTCGTGGCAAGCTTATAAAGAAATGCCTTTATTTATAAGCTTACTAGAACATACTATAATAAAAAATAACAAAGTCAAAACATCCTAAAATTTCTAAAATACAAATTTCGTTTAGAAATCCCCAAACTTAAATTAAATTTGACATATGACATTCAATAATAGGGAAACCATGGTATGCGTAATGTCATCACAGTAACCACAATACTGTAACCAAGTATGTTGTAGTAAGCTTATAAAGAAATGCCTTTAATCACATACTTTGATTACTATACGAGGCAAGAGAGAGGTCCGACACGCCCAACATAGGGCGCGGCCATTTTGAACCCTGTGACACAGTTTACAGCTAAAGAATCAGATCGCTCACTCTGCGTCGGCACTTTTGATCTCAATGTTTCAGTTTATACACTGTGTAACTCGGATAATACAATATATGACAACCGCCTATAATAAAACAGCAGTCTTCTGCGTATCCTGAATTTGTATTCCTGGAGTGGATGTTATTTTTTGAACTTTCAACTGGTCCGAGTGAGCTAACTGATTCTTTAGCAATAAACTGTGACTTCAAAAATAATATTCACTGACACTGACAGCAGCAAGCAAAATATCAGGTGCGTTTTAATCATCCGCTTCTGCTTCCGGAATTGTCGGTTTAGTCGTTTTAACCTGTCAGATTAAAACAAGAAAACCGACAATTCCGAAGCAGAAGCGGATGATTAAAACGCACCTATTAAAAATATTGCGCCAAGATGTAGGCAACACGTAATAAGGGTTCAAAATGGCGGAGTTTTCTATCTCCTTTTAAAAGGCACTCAGAAAGCTGCGCAGTGCGACCATTCTCCGTATAGTAAAAGAAAATCAAAGTATGTGGTCTTAATATTCGAAACTGGCGCAAGCGCGTTAAATATTTTAATGAATATTACTTCATAAAAAGAAATATGTTTTATGGAGGGTTTTGGGTAGAATTCTCATGGGATAACTTTTTATCTTTTCTGGTTATTGGGTTGTTACATGTAATATTAGAGACCCCGCGAACGGAAATATTGCTTTTATTTATTAGGCACCATCGATAAGATTTAATTATCTAAAAGATTTTTCGTAAATATTAAGGAATTTGAATTTAATATGCAACTTTTCTGTAATAAATGACATTAATAAATTATTAATGTAAGTACCTGGGTGAGGTAGGTTACAAAATGAATAAAAATAATTGTTTTCGTGATATTTTAATTTTTTTAGAGTTTATCAAAACAAAACTACAAATCATAATAAAATAATAATTCTCAATAACTAAAAAATATACTGACAATTAGTTTGACAATCCTTGTCACTTATTTAAAATTTTAAAAATTAGTAGTTGGGTGGATTTCATTTTTCTGCAGCGTTCTCACTACCTAGAATGGATATGAAATATCTTCGCTCAGTTGAACGCAATGACATACTTTTTCGTTTTGTAGACTGTACGTAGATAAGCTAATATCCATCTGGGCGTAGAAAAAAAATATTTTTATTCTAACTACTAAAGATAACATGGACTGGATATGGAAATTATGAAATACCGGATACAAAATTTGAACAATACCTGGATCCAACTTTCGGATACATATAAAGTATCCGGTTACTGTATCTGGATACAGAAGTATCCAACTCTGCTAAAAATGATAGTGATCAAATTATTGAAGGAGCCCTGAACCCAAACCTAATTGGGAGAATCTGCCGAAACCCCGAAAAGCAGAGAGATTGCTAAAAGGGTAAAAATATATATTTATACTTTTGTAAAATTAGAAAAATGTTTTTTTACGATTACATTTATTCATTTAAGTAAATTTAAAATATATATTGGTAAAATCCCATACAGCACAAACACATTTCGGAAATATTCAAAAATATTAAATTGAAACATTTGTAATGTATAAATATTACGAAACATCCCAAAAACATTTCTGAAATGTGCCTGAAACGTAAAAATGTCCTGTAAATATAATATTTTACAGTAATATGTCTGAAATAAAAATTTGAAATCTTTTACAAATATTAAATAGTAATATTTCAGAAATGTACTCTATCTTTTTTTTTTCTAAAATATTAGACTAAAAAAATACATTTATAAATATACATGTTTATTTAAAATACACAAAACTCAAAACATTGTTTCTTAAACAAACAAACAAATAAATAATTTTTAAACATTTTTTCATAAAATATAAAGGCGAATCGCTTCATTTCCACAAATTCCTTTAAATGCACTAATCTGAAACAAATAGTTTTTTTAAATAAATGTCCAAAGTAAATAAACATTTCCGATTATTACAATCTGATCATTAAGATCAATTAGCAATTTTATTCTAATAAAATTTATCAAGGGATGAAAAACTTAAACTAATATTCTACTCACTAGTTATTTAGTTACACTACCGTTAACATATAACACTTAACCGCACTATACTCTGCTTTAACATCACTGAAATAACTCAAAAGGCTTGGTTCTCTTGAGTCTTCTTATTAGATTGGCATTATTGAGGAGATGGATAATCTCAAGGTTTCCATGTTGGAGCAGTCGTTGTTGGTGACTACTGGCAAATTTGGATTGTATTTTCAACAGTCTCCACTTTAAGATCTCTATGAAGATTAGTATTCTGGCAGTACCAGGGTGTATCGATGACGTTCCTTAATACTTTATTCTGGAAACGTTGAATAACTTCGATGTTACTTTTATTGGCTGGCGAATCGCTTCATTTTCACCAATTCCTTTAAATGCACTAATCTGAAACACATTATAGGTAATTAAAAAGGTCCATTAATATTTTTTTAAATAAACTGTAATAAAACAAACAATATTCATGCCTACACAAAACATGAAGCTCCAGTTTTCAATCATTTGTAGAACTAATAAATAAAATTTGTGGAGGGACAGCAAATGTAGGTTATATTTAAATAGAAATAAGAATATAAAATGCCTATAAATTTGATAATCGAAATGGCGTTACTCGTCTCAGAGAAGAGATGAAATTAATAAACCTAACCTAAACAAGCATTGTAATACTCGCCTAAATGTCTAAAGACATATTCTGCCTATTCTGCTTCCCATAACAAGAGCACAACGAATAAATAACAAAAAAAGGAAATGACAAAAACCGACAACTCAAATCTATAATTATTTAGAATATAGGGTTGTCTCTGGCTGGACATCTTCTTACAAATCCAAAATTCTTCATTAAGTGTTGGCCTTTTACAAAATAACCCGTTTAGTAACCTTTTGTGTAATATATATATACCATGTTTCAGAAACATTTTAGTGAAATATTTCAGAAACTTGTGCTTGAAATGTTATGTTTGAAACGTTTCAAATATTTCTGAAACACTTCTAAAATAATGTGTGCTGTATGGGATATGAACTTATGAAATATATTAGAACTCAAAATTCTAGTACTGTTATTGAAGGAGATGATATTTTAAATACAGGTCATATTTTTAGTGAACTCAAGGATACTGCACTCTATGTAGAGAGACAAGTATCCTCGAGTGAAAATGGCAGTTCTTAGTGACTTTTATCACATCTCAAATATCAGTTCTATCAAATAGGTCAGTAACATTGTTTTGGGGTTACTACTATTTTCAACCCAAATGTACAATTAATACAATTATTGGTCTAATCGTTATTGCGAGTAAGAATGAATTGAAATACACATACTTGAAGGCCGAAAAACACAATTACAGCAATACTTAAATGCATTTTCTTGTTTTTTATTTTTTTCACTATCTCAACGTCATCTCATTACTCATTCTCAAATTACACAAATCGTCATGATCGCCCACACGCACACCTAAAAACATTCTGTATTTCATTTTAGAGAGCATGATGTCACCCACAACAAAAGAATCGACAGTACTGGTAAATGGCAATGTTGATGGTACCGTCGACGTGACACCGAGTTTCGTCCTCACGTCGGACAAATCCCAGAGTTCCGAGCAAAACAAGAGCCAATGCTCATCCTTATCGGATGTGGAGAACTTCGAGTGGTCCCCGGAAACCTTAGAAATCGACGCCGATACCACATTGAACGGAAACAACTCGTACGTGTCAAGTTTTTTTTCTATATTTTTCTTGTTTTAATTTTAATTCGTACGAATACATTGACTGTCGTTGTGTCGGTGATGTGTTGAAAAAAAATGTTACGTAACGCTGTTGATTTCATAATAAACGTTATTAGAATTAATTAGTTTGCTCGTCTAATGCTAATACAATACGGTGAGTAGTTTATTTCCTTATGATTTGTTGTTGTTGTAGGTAACTGTTTTACTGTTTAGTTAATAATATTTACGGTTGTTGTTTTTGGTTGTTATGGGAATGACAGTTCGAGTTTTTTCTGATTTTTTTTAATCCGAATTTCTCAAGTAAGTACATAACTATGCTATTCGCTAGTCAGAAATAATTAGGATTAAATTTATAAACCACTAGAGGTGAAAACAAATAAAAAAAAAAAATTGAAAAATATCCGCTCTCCCCAGCAAGACTCGAACCTTCGATATGGTGCAACACTCAAAATTTGAATTTTTGTCTTATTCTTACCTCAAAATTTAACTATCCGAGATTCAAGAATATATTTGCAGGGCACTTACTGTTCTGCGATATAGAAATGAATAATTAGATTCCAACCAAGGTACCTACTCAGATCCATTTTCAATTTTACTTCAGCATCGTTCCACCGTTCGTTAAAAATGTTTTCAATTTGTACGGATAAGCTCCGTAAATGCATAGACAAGGAAAGGGAATTTCGAATTTCCTCTTCGTTACCTACACATTTTACTCCAAGGGAAAATATTGATTTAGTATTTAATACTAATTGGCAATAGTCAGTAGCGTAACCTAAACTAATTTTTGAGGGGGGAGGCACAACGAACGTTACTTTTACAAATCTAAAATGTATAAAAGAGGTATAAACATACTTTTCTCCACGGCCACTACTGAATATAGTTCTTCCGAAACCACTTATAATAACAGAAAGAAAATATTCTCGCTCTTGATATTGAAAGAAAATTCTGAAACCCTTTCCACTTATGTATTGTACACGAATTTCATTCTAACTCTAGTGACAGAATGTTCATTCTGCAATAGCTGGCCAATAGCTGTGAATATCACGCCCGCATCGTAGATAGCCATGAATATCATGTTTGATAGTTCTACATGACGTATTATTATTTAGTTTGAATTTGCCTGAAAAAGATAAGAGGGGTTTGTTGAGTCGAACTTAAATTCAGAAATGAGTGAATATAATGATTCTGATGTGGAATTTGGTAATACTTCTCCTGAATTGACAAATTATGCAAATTATTTAAGTAAAAACTTGCCTAATATAAGTTAGATTAAATATTTTATTTTGTTCAAAGTTTCATTTTTCTATATTCAACTCCTACTGGGTCTGTGGCCGCAGAGAAAGTACAGTCTGTTACTCTGTTGAAATGAAAATCTGATACTCGTGGTTGTTCATGCTCGCATACGCTCGCGTTCAGAAACTTCCACTCGTATCGAATTTTTATTCTAATCTTACAGAATATACTATTTTGAACTCGCCGCCAAAAATGGAACGTTTCGCTTATGCAAAGGCCGACTAGAAAAATTGCAAAAAAACACTGGCCCAAAATATCATCATCAGAATTTGACGTAATTAGGTATTTGTTTTATACAAAGATGGTTCGCTTTTACAAACTATTATAAAAGAATAAAAGTCTAATGAATTAAATAAATCGAAGCAAGTCACGACTGTATGGCATAACTTTGAAAGTCAATTTATTTATTTAGATGCTTGCGTGCCATTTGCAATAATGGTTTCACAGAGAGTGAAATTATAACCAAACTTTTAATAAAACATGATTAAACTTGACTTATACGTTTTTACTGTTTTTAGTTTTTTTCTTAATATTGTTTGGAGTTCATAAAAAAATAGTTTAAAGATATTTGGTAACTAAACTATTATATACTTGATGCATGTTATCTATTTACTGTAAGAATGTATTCATAAAAATTCAAAAACTACATGACTTCGATAAATAAAATGAACAAAACGCACTTAAAAAGTCTGCTGTCACTTTAATTGTCAGTGGAATCATAATTACATCATCATTAATGTAGCGTATTAGGCCAAACAAAAGAACTCAATGGGAAGGATTGGCATATCTAAGGGGTTGCGACATACGATGCATTCTATCTACAACACATGAAATCATAAAAAATAGATTAAATTTAAATATTTCCTGTTGAACATAATGAAAATATTTAAAAAAAAAACGCTTATACGTTTTCACTTCAAACAAATAAATTTTTGATTAAAAACTTTAACAATCATTGATCATCACAAATACCTATTTGTAACCAACTAATTCGATTATAAATGACACATCGGATGTTAACGATTAAATGCTACAGATCATACTGAGTGATCGAGTAGACACTCCGTACTGATTATACATGTTCATCCACATACTTTGATCAAAGTATGTGATGTTCATCACTCAAAAGACATCGCTGAACTATATATTAAACTGGAAGTCCAAAGCCGATCAACAAAATCGTGCCACATAGCGAAGTTATATTTGACAGGCTGGCGCCCACAGGTGCGTATCCAAATGCACTAAAACGTAACACCAAAATTAAATTTAACACTTATTACCTATACTTACAACACCTTTTAATTTAAGAAAATTATTTAAACATGATCTTTGATTAATACACAGCTAAAACAAATGTTCCAATAACAATAATAATTAAAATAATAATAATAATAATAATAAAAAATAATATAACTTATCGTAGTACGCCCGTGGAAAACGTGACGTATCACGCTTGAAATTGACAATCTGGTGTCTAAATTGTCTTGCGCACCGACAGTTTTTTTTTTCACCCATATCGGCTTAGAAATTAGAAGTGGGGCAAGTGCTAAAATTTATTTTTGATCTAAAAGATTTATTTTTAACTAAATAGGTAAAACAGCTTTTGTTTCGAGCTATTTGAGGCTATTAGAAAATTACTTTCCAGGTCATGGCCTTCTACCTTAAGAAAAAAGAAAATATCGCACCTCCGGAAGAACAATGACTTAAGTGCAGAAAAGTTAATTCCTTAGAAATTACGTTTTAAGTTTTTTTATTTCTAATAACTGGTTAACTGAGCAACAGTAATCGTGCAAATAAGGCAAAAAGCTATAATATTCATAAAATTTATTCTAGTTTTAAACAGTGCCATGAGTTACCAACATTTTCCGAAAAATAAGTAGTTACAGTCTATGCAAGTCAAACACCTTCCATTAGCGTCATTGTTCTTATGTGATATATTATACTTTTAATTTGTATGCCACAATTTAATACACAAATACTTTATTATTAAAACCTATATTTACCAACTTATAGCATCGGGAAGGGAACTTATTGAGTAAATAAGTATGTTAGAAAAATAAATGTACCAAAAACTTCATTAGTAGCATTAATTACAATTTTTACAGTTACATAATGCTATTAAAAAACGGAACATAGAACTTAGGAATTATATTACCGTTAGTATACTTTCCTTTTTGTTTGCACTTATTGGCAATTTGGAATTGTATGCGGGCTTTAAAGAAATATTTGTTATATCCTTTGGTGCGTTAGACTAACGCCTTTTAACGTTCTAATCTGGACACGTTGCCAACTTGAATCATTATAGCTTGTTTTATAGAAGTAGGAATCGCTACCTTTTTTAAAACGTAGCATTTTGATATCTGCTTGATATTTGCGATTCACTATTGGATGGTGCACTGCAAATTATTTTGGCACTACTTCCGCAGTCATATTGTCATTATTGTCGACAGGTTTTTTTGCAATTTCAGAATCCTCAAGTGCCATTGTAACAAGCATTTTACCTCGGAAGGTCATTTTGCAGGTTGGAATACCACATAAAGAACATTTACGTCACTATGCCAATAAAAGTTACAGATTAACATTTTCACAATAAACACTTACGTCGTTATTCCACTAAAACTCGAACGAAAATCATTGTCTAAGTTCAAAACACAAGTGACGATTACATCGTAGTATCTCTGAACCATGGCCGCATGTTTGGCTAAATGGAAGAACGACACATCTATCCCCTGTCGACACCCATGCGAACTACAATTAGATCGTTGTATGATTAGAAAGAATGATTGTTTTTGACACGTTTGACATGTTCAACCAGAAAAATTTTAATTTTGCACTTGAGTCATTGTTCTTCCGGAGGTGCGATATGGCAATCCTGCTATATGTAAGCTAAGTGATACGCCCTCTGGAGGGAATTTGTAAAAGGTCTCTTTAAGTAGGACTTTGTTCATGTTGCCAGGAGTAGCGGAATTTCGCTACGTCGTCGGATTTTTAGTCCTTGAAGAAGTGGAAAGACCTTTTTTTTAAGTAACAAAATTTGGGTTTAGCAATATATATGTAATCATACTCTATATTTAAGGATTTTTTTATAAAACCGATTTATTATATTGATTTTTTTTAATTTCAGTTCATTTATCAATTTTGTTTTAAAATCAGTACATCATTCGGCAACATTGGCGTTTGTGTTCACTGTTTATATTTTAATTTCTATGTGTTATAATTTGAATTTTTTCTTACTTATGATCTATAAGTTTGTTTATTTCTTATAGTGTGTGATATTGATTATATTAAAAATGAAATTTGCGAAAAAGCCCACAGCAAATTGCAATCTATATGGTGTTGTTGTCAAAATCAAAACTGAAGTGTTCATTACTTTCCAAGCATAAGTCGTAAAATTTTGTTTCTTACGATAAATAGATATCTACAAATTCACATTATTGAGATTTTGCAAAATTTTATCTAGAATCATCCCCTAATCTGCATTTTGGCTTTATAAAACGACTAAACCGACAATTCCGGAAGCAGAAGCGGATGATTAAAACGCACCTGATATTTTGCTTGCTGCTGTCAGTGTCAGTGAATATTATTTTTGAAGTCACAGTTTATTGCTAAAGAATCAGTTAGCTCACTCGGACCAGTTGAAACTTTTAAAATAACATCCACTCCAGGGATACAAATTCAGGATACGCAGAAGACTGCTGTTTTATTGTAGGCGGTTGTCATATATTGTATTATCCGAGTTGCACAGTAAACTGAAACATTGAGATCAAAAGTGCCGACGCAGAGTGAGCGATCTGATTCTTTAGCTGTAAACTGTGTCACAGGGTTCAAAATGGCCGCGCCCTATGTTGGGCGTGTCGGACCTCTCTCTTGCCTCGTATAGTAATCAAAGTATGTGAAATTCGAAAATCGGATGAATCTATGAATTGAAGTCAAATTATTAATGTAAAAATCGTTAAATTAAAATAACAATTTACTGGTTTTTACTATTTTGCAAAATACAGGGTGTTCTATAAATAAACGGTAAAATTTATACTTATATAATAGAATATAGTTTAGGTCGTCAATGCCGTATAAGCTATTTCATTTATGACATACCATGACGTCACTTTTACTTTTCCTCCCTAGGAAGGAAAAGTACGACTTTGCTCCCTGCAATGAGGCCAGAAAATGTATACTTTGGATAGAGGTAGGCTTAGAACTGCCAAACTAGCTCTAAAATGACCAAATACAAGTTTTGACAAAAAAATTATGGGCAATTATGCATCAAAATACATTTCTCATATATACCGATGCTGCATTTGAGATATTTGTAGATTTGAGAGAGAACCTAAACGTCTTCTGGCTTGAACTAGCACTTCAAATTTTCGTTTAGGAATCTCGACAGTCAATATCGTTGATAGCCTGACGGTAAGGGCACACGTATGGAAAACCTGGAGGTCTGGGTTTAACTCCCGGCGTAGACAAGTTTTTTTTTTCAAATCTACAAGTTTTTGTTTTCACCTTTGGGGTCCGGGGATGGTTTTAATAATTCGTAGGGGGATTTTTGAGATTTGTTTCAGAATTTTTAAATTATTTAAAAAAAAATCGTCTGTGTGTCCAATATAACTCCCGAACGGTTTGAGGTATCGATTTCAAATTTAATGGACTTAATCAAAAAACCTCTAAAATAGTTTTTAATATTTTTAGCGATATAAAGTATTTTATACGATAAATGTTAGGGTGGTGTGAAAGTATTGATTCAGCTTGCAGTATTTTTTGTATCTCTGTTTAATACTGACTTGCCCTATATACATCCAATGTCTCGGTAACAAGCTCGGAAGATTAATTTAAACACAATATGCCTTGGGTTTTTCATGAAACAGCAATGTTTTAATTTAGGCAGGTTGTGTTGCACACAATTTACCGAAATGCGACGGGCTCTTCATGAAATGCCTTGGCAGATTGTGTAGCTTCATGAGTTTACATAATATGCTTCGTGATATGAATAGGAGCTTCATGAAAAGACAAAGTACTACACCATTCACTTCATAATATAAGAATAATGATAGTAATATTTTTAATTAAGTTTATCAATAATAAACGTTAGGAACGGTATCTGAAATGTCCTTTAAATCACATAATAAAGCATATTTCTAGATGTTTGTGTAGCAACCAGACAGGTGAAGATTTTTCAACAAATATTAGTCATAAACACATGATAAATATTATGTTTATGACGAAAACACGCAGACTAAACTTAAATTAATACTAAATGAAACTTAAAAACACTATTATAATGAGAATATTATCTAAAAATAGTTAAACAATCACAAATACAAAAACCCCCACAAAACAAACACAATGTAAATTTAAAAAATATTCTACTTATAGGTGACAAATAACGTGGTTCTGGACACATTGTATCCGGTATCCAAAAAAATTTCAAAACGTTTTTAGGACGTAGTCCAAAACGAACTAGATCTATTCCAAGCAATATAAAAAAAAACACGATGTCTTAAAAACGAAATTAACAACAAAAACCTGTCAAATAGTTGCCAAGCGTTACGAAACGTTTTTTATAATTATATAAATGCAATTTAGGCAATAATTCAGATTTTTATCGCATTACAAGTCGCTTTATAAATGCAATTATGTTTTTTTATCTAGTCTGCTCAACAACCGTTGAGTTAAATAATAATCTTTTACGAACCAACTTTAAACAATTCAATTTTCTATCTTTGTATAATTCATACACCGTAAAATAATGATAAAATGTTTTGTATGCATTCCGGCAAATTGTACGTGGTTTTATGTTGTATTGTGTTCCGTTATTTTTATCTTGTACATCGAAAAACACATATCGAATTATTTATTATCGTAGTTTTTTAATTATATATAGTTTACTACTAGTTTATCACAGCTCATAATATATTTTTTCATTTACTAATTCCTAAATTAGTGATTTTTAAATTAGACGCTTATAGATTTTTCTTAAATTGGCACATTTCGTTCGAATAAAAATAGTGTCCAAGATGAAGGACTACACCCTCTTAGATATACCAGCCTTTCCCTCCGGCAGCTATACCTACGCCATAAAAGTGTGACGTAACTTTGGTTCCATTGACAGTTAATTCTAACCAAACTTTTAACAATATTTGACATATACGTTCTTATTGCTTTTATTTTTATAACTAATTAAATAAATAAAAATTAGTTAGATATGTAATTGGTTACTAAATGATTATATACTTGATGCATGTTGTTTAGAAATATGTTTATATAATAAAAATATAATTTAGGTAAACAAAACGCACTCAAAAAATTCTGTCACTGTAATTGTCAGTGGAATCAAAATTACGTCATTACTAATTTAGTGTGTTGGAATGCCTAATTGAACATTCCGTGCTAACGAAAATTCATTAGGTGTGTTTTAATCATTGAAATAGAATAAAGAGGAGATGCAATGACGATGCTAAAATATCTGCACCTTTGCTTTACACTTTTACACCATATGTCAAACTCGAGATATTGGAGCTAGTCAGTTTTGGTGAAAATAAATGCCATTTTTGTTAAATAGCTTCATTTAACTAATAAAAAAAACCATTTTCATTCAGTCAGTCTTCAAATATAAAATTGTTGACTTCAAAGAAATCAAAATACCACTCATACCAACATAGTTGTAAATGCTATACCGGCTATTCTTAAATTGTAACTGCATTTTTAATTGTTGATCAATGAACGTTGTTTTAATATCAATGGCTCATTCTTTCAGCTATAATTAATTGACGCGCATTTCCTTTTCAGGGGAAATGATCCTAGGACTGTAAATGGTATAAACAGAAACACTTGGTTGCGAACAAGCTTGAGACGATCGTCGCCGAAGTGAGTTAAACGAAATATTCCAATAACTTTCATAATTAATAAAATTCAATTTCAGCCATCAAGACAATCTCTCGAATAGGAGATGGGGTTCATTTCGACAGTAAGTATTACAAGACAGTATGAAAATATTATTTTCTAAGTTTGACATAAAAAGTGACGTTTTCTATAATCGCAGTAAATGTCAAAATGATCTAGGTACTTCACGCAACCAGTTGCATAATGTTGAACATTATGAACCTTGTTTCGAAAAATTCATTATGTCATTAGTTGCAAAAAGAAAACAAATAAAAACATACCTTTTTTGGTTTTAAAATCAATATTATACTCAAGTAGTGAAAGTTTATACATAGTAATAATGTTGTTTTGGTCCTTATTTTCCATTCTAAATCAGCACAAAATAATTAAAACACAATACACGACAAAATTACCAACTTTTTTAAAAATTAAATAACTTTAAAAAGCAATATAAACAGCGTACTACAAGTCGTTAAGAGTAAATTAATATTTTTTTATTTCTCAGTAAAATGAATGAAGTTACGCATATGCAACTAACAATACAGAAAAGATATATTGGTTGCCTAGATGTCAGTATTTTTTTTACCAAAACTCAATTTTATAAATAATCCAGTCAAAATTAGAAAACAATATTGTACATAACTGGTTTCGTAATAGCTATTATACAATTTCTAACTGTTACAATTTTGTATCTGAAAATTTGGGAGGGTTGACAGCAATTTTTTTTATACGTTAGAAAATTACTTCTATCAGTAGTTTAAAAAGCAGGAAATGTCCTCCAATAGAAGACATTTTCACTCTATTTTTATTATAAATTAACTCGGTAACATAAAAATTCATAATTATGTAATTGATTTTCAGCAATGGACGCCGTCAACAACTAGGATCAAATGCATTAGCCAGGTAACTTATTTTTTAAATACAATAGTAAACTCTAGCTAATCTATTCACCTATTACACTTCAATACTTTAGTCTCTTGGCTTCGATTATATAAACACTAGATATGTAACGAATACCTACCCTGTGCCACACAATCTCGAGGACATTTCGGCTGTTGTTGTTTATTCCATCATAAACATAGATGGATAAAATAAAGACTAAAAGAAGAGCAGTAAACAATTTTATCGACCAAATATGATCCATTAATTTTATTATGTACAATTTAATATGTAAAAATAACAAATATATTTTTAGTATTTAAAAGAATATAAAATGTCAGATATCGTTTTAAATTAGAGGACGGTAATAATCTCATACACACTCTGTAGAATGCAGATGGAATTTATAGCCCAAGAGCCCACTGCAAATTTTGGCTGTCATCTGATAACGAAATAAAATATGCTCTGAAGGCATGTAAAAATATTGAACTTTACCAAACAAACGACACCTGTGCCCTGTGCCACTAACCTGAGCAAAGTAGTTATTTTTTTTTAAATTTTCTATTCAAAAAATCACATAAGACATCACAGCGATAATTATTTTGTTTGCCACTAGTTCCTGGTTCGTCTCCAGGACTTCCATACTAAATACGAATATCGAGTATTATATTGTAACGATAGTTTAATTATTTAAAACACACTATTTACAATTTATTTTTTGTTGTTGTCAATTCTATCTTGGTTTCTGTTCTGTCATTTCTTCTCTTTATCAATATTAATTCCGATATTAAATAAAAACGCGGTGTATTTTGTCCTAAAAGGGATAGACAAGCAGCACACGAATCAGTCGTTCACTTGCATGTATCTTAAAATTAAGCACTGCATGTTTTTTATTTTTACTTTTTGATTAGATGCACGTTAGCCAGTCCGTCCCTATTAGGCCACGAATGTTAATTCCTTTTTATGGTTTCTGTTTTCACAGTCAATTATATCGCAGTTCCAGCTTCAATTCGTCGGGCAGGAGTAGCACGTGCGACACCACTGATGACATGTACTCGGATGCTTCCTTGGAGGAGGATGTGCAGGATCTACAGAAGAAGGTGAGTGCACCGTACTGTTATTCAAATAAAAAGGAAATTCGTAAGTTTAATTTGTCGGCTTTGTATTATGGCACATTTCTAAATATATTTATAATAATAAATCGTCTTTATTTAAATATCCGTAATAAAAAAAGTAAATAAATTTATCTTAGAACTGAGAGTTTGCAAAGAGTTTGCAAATTTACAACATTCTAACCATGTACCCATATGTAGATTGTTAATAGTGATATCAATTGAAAATTAAAAAAAAGGTTTTGTATAAAAAATATTGACGATTTTTACCAGTCAATTAAATCATGTTGATAGTTTTATTTTTACAAATTTTGTAGTAATGTAAATGTCGCTGCATTTGCCGAATTCGTCTCCGTATTTGGTGATCGTGGAGACCTTTTTGTCTAAAAATTTGAAAAGCCGCTTTGATTTTCGAAATTTTGAGTTATCGGGCTATTTATATATTATACCATTTTGTAGAGTTCAACGATAAAAGTTCAATGCCACAAACCGCATATTCATAGCTCAAACGGTTGTCTAAATATTTAATTTCAAAGGTATTGGATTCTGTAGTAAAAATTAACCTAAATTGGAGTCAAAATCCTATTCTGCCCTTACTCATAACAGTCATAACGAAACGGTGATTTCACTGTGCACGAACGAGCGTACTAATTCGTTTGCTTGCGCATAATGCATTTCGCGTAGGTGGTGAACCGAAGGACTTTTTTTTAAAAAAATTGGAAATTTTCATACCGACGTATTTCGATTAGATCTAACCCTTTAATTTTTCTATGGTTCTAACCGATTAATATTGTATAGGTCTCATTGAGTAGATTCAGAGTCACTCTGGGTTCGTTGAGCTAACTTCAAGAATAGCGTAAATATTGGCATTTAAAGATAATTACAAAAAAAAATCGATTGATTTTGATATTTGACAAAAACGGTCAAAAATTAGGAAGTGTTTTTTCATGGCATCTTATAGTTTTTGAGGCGTACTTGCCATAAAAGTGTTGCTTTTTGTCCATCTTAGACTATGAGTCAGCGGCCGTGGGGTGGCACGATCGTACCTCCGGCTGGAATTTTGTGAAGTGGTAGACGGGACCATCAGGAAGTGTCATCTGAAAGGATTGAGTTTAAAACCCCTGCAAATGAGACGTCAGACGACTCAAATTTGTAATTTTTTTTTGTTAAAATTTACAATATGCATATTTCATTTGAAAACTTTATTGACATTACCTGTTAGCTCAGGGATGGGATTCGGAAATTCAACAAAATAATGAAGCATTCGAACTACGCTGACTTTTAAACGTCAAACAATAAAAGTGAATTTGTATTTGTTTAGCATTGATGAAAATTATTTATTTATTTATTTTTTATAGTTATGGGTAGGGTTCCTGGGTTTCCTCATCTATGAGTTAAATGAAACCATCTGTAAGTTGCCTCGGAGCGCCATGGATAATAGTAGTAATAATAATATAGTTGTCCCTCCCCGACACTAGCTATTATTTTAGAACAATGGGGTAGATTATAAAAAGATTATAATTTAATATTATTGCGCTTTGCGCTAAAGAATGGATGAGCTATGAAAAGGAAGCGGTCCTTTCAAACTCCGAACATCGCTGTGGATAGCTTTTTCGGCTAAATAGAGAGTCAAAAATAAAAGCCTCAAATCAAAGGGTTTGTTGTATCGATAAAGTCGGTCGGAAACACTTTTTATAACACTATAATACAATATCTTGGAAGTAGTTGTTTGTTTTATAAGGCGGCCGGACATTTTCCCGAGTTAGAATCGGAACTATACGTATGGCAATCGCCTTTTATTTAGAGAGAAAAATAGAGAAAATAAAGCATTTGATGCAGGAGAGGTTATTCAGAAAAATCATTGCTGCGAAAACTAAATCCTTTTCAGTCCAAAGATTTTATGCCACATGAGTATTATTCACCTCAAAAATAGGTTTATACTTAATGTTAAAAAAATTGAACTTAACCGATTTGATATCGAAGATTAAAAAAAAAATAAAAATAAAAAAAATAAAAAACTTTATTTCATGATTAACAACAAATTGTACAAATAAAAAAAAAATTAAATGTGAAATAAACGTATAAAGCGTATAAACGCTTGTTTCGACAGAAAACATATAATAATGATTAATTAAAATTAAGATAAAATTCCACATAATAATAACAATAGTAATAACAACAACAACAATAATAATAATAATAATAACAATTAATAATAATAATAATAATAATAATAACCAAGGGTCCCAGGTTCGAATCCCACCGTTGGCCGGAATTTTTTCATTTAATTTAATTATTTAAAATTAATTCTGATGCCTTGGTAGAATTCCCCACTCGACCATTCACTGTTGGGTTCTAATTAACAGTGCTGTTCCTAAAGTGGCGCTGGGAAATAGTAACAAAGCCTACACAGAACACGAGGCGAAATAACCTTAGCAGTTGAAGCCGATGACACAAAAAAAAATAATAATATTAACCTCAAAGGTCTCAGGATCGAATCCCACCGCTGGCAAGGATTTTTATTTAATAAAAAAAAATAAATATTAATTCTAATGCATAGGTAGGATTCCCCACTCGACCATTCACTGTTGGGTTCTAATTAATAGTGCTGTTCCTAAAGTGGCGCTGGGAAACAGTAACAAAGCCTACACAGAACACGAGGCTAATGGCCGTAGTAGTCGACGCCGATGACACCAAATTAAAAAAAAAAAAAAATTACGTTAACGGAGGTACAATAAATAAAACGAAGATGTAGGAATTTTGACAATAAATATATGACGACACATTTCTAATGAGCAACCCGGGTATCCCGTTTCGCAACATTCGCGCGTCACAATCATTTTGGGACGTAATAATACGGTCGCTAGGCAAGTTGTTGTTTGGGCAGAAGTCAACGAAAAAAGTCATTCTTTTAATCTCAATATTTTATATTCAAAACCCTGTATTAAATAATACAAAGAATAGTTGTTAATGTGTTCCTGTTCCTGTTCATGGTAATATACGAATACAAAAGTTCGCAGTTTTATTTTATTGACGCAGCTAGAGTTAAACCAAAACCGAGCTGTGGCCAGTTTAAGAACTGGCACTCGTGATGAGGATGTAGCCAGCAGCATCATCCCCATTCAGAAGATATATTAGAAATTTAAGGGCGTGCATTGGAACAGAGAAGTCTGAACAAGTCCTCCCAGAGAGAGACAAAATAAAGTTATCCGAGAGGTGCTGCCTCTAGTTAGCAACTAAGTAACAAATATACGTTCTGCATTTTCGCATTTGCGAATAAAAATGTATTCTTTTAAACTCGCAGGTACGGGCTTTTGTATGGTATAGATTGAAATTTTTTTGACTTTGCCTCCCACTTCGGTGTCACAAGCTGAATTTTTCAGGGATGAAAGTACATGATAAGCTTACCCTTATTCCGGAGGTAATACAAAATTAGACAGTGCAAAAGGGCACTATCATAAAAAATAGAGTTATTGATACCACCATATAGAAAAAAAAATGCTTATTTTTTTGTTGTAATGCACAATAAGGTCTTTGTAGGAAGTATTTTTTTATAATTATTTAAAAAAAATCATTTGCATTAGCCCTTATGGTCGAAAAAAAATTTAAACGTCAATATCTCGGTTTCAACCGTCCACAAATTTGTATTAAAAATCTTTTTTTAGAAATATACCTCTCATTTGACGAAAAACGAAGGCCTAAATGAGAAAAAACTATTCCTCATAAAAGTTTCGCCAATGTATTAACAAGGTAACAGTGCTTTCCCCATATTTTTTGATTTAATAATAACAAATATATAGCAATAAACAATTAGTTATGTCATGGTTTAACTAGAAAGCAAACGTAAAGTAAAGTCTCTCAGTCTCTATTCTTCTCTCTCAGTGCTAAAATGTATGCAATCAGTTTGACTCTCTCATATTATTTTATACACGGATTATTGATTTATACGCTATGATTTTTTTTTTTTTTTGAGGAAAATAAAAAATAAGAAAATATGAACTATTTATTGAAGGTATAAACACTATATACTGTGTTTATATATATAAGACATAAACTATTTGTAAACTTTTGTTTTTGTCATAGTCGGCTAGGTACCAAACTATAAATCGTTGGAAACATTTTGCTAAATATATTGAGAGATGTAGGTGTAATCGTTAAGATCACCCAAATTAAAAAGTTATTGAAAAGGACCCATATAAGTATCGATTATAAACAGTAAGGCTATTGCTTTGCAAAATACAATAAATTCCCAATGTAAAAAACATTATAATAAGAATAATTAAAAGTATATAAAGCATAAATTAATAATATTAAAATTTATAGTACAAGACTTTTAAACTAATCAGAATAAGATTCACCACACGAATCAACATTTTCCAAAACATTAGCGACTGTGGTCAAACTTTTTCTACAGTTTTTCTGTGCCATACAGGTAGGTGCAGGAACCGATACAGCCAATATTTTTTTCCTGCATTTGCAAATTTTGCTTTCTTAGTCTAGAACAGAATAATGTTGTTAGAATATTGTACATCTATGAAAATTATCGGTGTATAGTACCTTTTTTGCATTTGCATGATGTAAGTTCTGTTATGTCTGGTGGCAGGTCGGACAGAGTCTTAGAGTGGGTATCAGACTTCCATCTTGATCTACTTTTTATTCATACTCTTTAACATTAGGAAGCTGCACCTGCGGCTTTAAAGATCTTAGCCAAATATTTAGCTGGTGAAAACATCTTAAACAATGTAATCTTAGGTCGTCTTAAGTCGGTGGCAATTTAGCAATGGTTTTTAAAGAGACCATTAAACCCCTCAAAATGTTAATGGAAGTAACATTGGCAATTTTTGAATAAATTTTTATGAAACATTTTTTAAGATTAGAGGATATGTTTTCTTTTCCCAATGCCAGACTATTGGCTGGTTGTATCATAACCGGTCAGAGAATGAAAATCAGGCAAATTTTCTAGAAGGTATCATCTAAATTTAAATCAT